GGGGTGGGAAAGGGGACACATGTAACCGTTACACAGGTCACAGTGCACAGCCAATAGGTGAGGTGGATGGGTGGGAGTGGGGACACATTTAAGCATTGCACAGGCCACTTTGTAGAGCCAATAAGTAAGGTGGACGGGTGGCAGTGGGGACACATTTAAGCGTTGCACAGGTCACAGTGCTTCTATGGAGTTCTGGTAGTCATTCCAGGATCATTTTCCAGGACAGTTTTTGGACATGGTTTTACATGACTTGTTTTACATGACACGTATTTGTGTATTTGCAAGAGTGCAGGTGGTCAATCTATCACGTACAGCTCTCGTTGTGCTGTGGGGACAGTGCAGCCGATCAGAGGAGGCATGGGCTAAAGGGGCCTCTTCCTCCCCTGTCTGAACAATACCCCCCCTCCTCTTCCTCCTGTCCCCAGTGCTTTTGTTCTAATTGTTGGCTCGCAGTACAGGTCCGATATGCCATCCAGCTCAGTCATTCTCCCAGTACAGATCTTTCCAGCACTGCTTATTTTAAGCACCCATATATTGTTAATTTTAATAATAATAATAATAATAATAATAATAATAATAATAGCTTATATAGCGCTTTTCTGGACACTCAAAGCGCTTCACAGGTAATGGGGACTCTCCTCCACCACCAATGTGCGGCCCCACCTGGATGATGTGACGGCAGCTATAGTGCGCCAGAACGCTCACCACACACCAGCTGTCAGTGGGGAGGAGAGCAGAGTAATGAAGCCAGTTCATAGAGGGGGATTATTAGGAGGCCATGATTGGTAAGGGCCAATGGGAAATTTGGGCAGGACCAACTTACTTTCCAGACCAAGTAAGTATTTCAGCTCAGTGATGGGGCCTTTTTATGGCCTGGACAGTTTGCTTGCTGTGCCATGTTGGCGATAACAGCCTTCTTCCACACTGGGACCAGAGCGGCTCATCGTGCAAGAGCTGTGGCTCTTAAATGAACAAGAGAGCAAATATCTCCTCCCCCAGAGCCCCCCACCAAGGTGGGATGCCTGTCTATTGCAGGGATTACCCCCCAGCAATACCAACCCCCAGTTATACAACTGGGTGGCCTGGAGCTACTGTACTCTGATTGGGGATACAACAAGTGTCTGCAGCAGGGCCTCGAACTCGCAACCCATCAGCTGTGGGACCAGGGACTTACCCACAATGCAATCACCGACTGGCAAGGGAAAGTTAACATATGAGGGAATCCACTGGAAAAGTTCCACAGAATATGAAAAAGAGGGGGAAGAGTGAGAATGGGAGAACAGGTACGAGCACTGCAGGTATACGTGCGTCAGCGAAAGATAAGCCAGACATTTAGGCAACTTTACCTTCTTATTGGCAAACCACTGTGGAGGAGTGGACATCCTGAATGAGTTACTGTTCAGCAAATACCTTTTAGCTTTCTTTATATTCCCAACAATTTTCGGATTAATGTATGAATCGCTGGATTGAATGGTTGTTTATTACACACCCATCCCACTCTGGAATCACCTAATCGTCTCGGCTCAGGGGTTCCAGCGCTGATCGGGAGGAGGACACTGTTACCAGTGTCGCGGCCAGCACCTGGGCAACAGCGAGATGCGTGGCTTGCTGAAAATCTGAAAGAGATGTGTCTGATTCATCCCAGCTAGACCCTGTGCTCGGATAATCATAGGCCATCACTAGGGGACCCTCAGCCAGGAAGTGAAATGCGACCCAGAGTCTCCTGTGTTGAGTTAGTCAGGAGCCCACCATGACCAACAGTTTACGAGCTGAGGACAAACATTAAATCAGTCCAACTGATCCTCTCTTAGCACTAGAGACGACATTCAGTGTGTTGGATTGCAAGCTCTAAAGAGACTGAAGTTGGGGACCTTAATGACATTGAACAGCAACCCCCACCTGGATTCAAAACAAGAAAGAACAAAAGCTGAACCAATGCAATCATTTATTGCAATACTGATTTTTTTATTGTACGACAAACCTTTACAAAACAGAAGGGTACATTATAACATGAAAAACAGTGTCACCTTCAGAGCACATACGAACCCATGGTGCTACTTTTTCCATCCCCCCCCCCCACAGTTTAAAAAGTGTTGGCTAACAAAAAAAGAGCCGTACAGCACCATCATGAAGATCGGCCAAACCGGCATTCTGATCAGACACCTGTCGGGTCCTCAGGCTGCCCATACCGTTAATAGTGTACGATCACACAGCGTGCATCAGAAAATACTCTCTGGTAAGCAGTGCAGGTGCAGTAAGAATGTAAAAGCCAAAGAGAAGTTTAAAAAAAAACAGAGTGGTACGGTCGGAACATGAAACTGTTTAGACCAGAAGAGGTTTTAAAAGCCTGTAAGAAAACTTGCAGAGGTAAACCCGTCATAGCCATTCCACTGAGAGGGAAACGACTGAGGTCATAATCCTCTGTCTGAACAGGTCAGGAGGGACGGACTGCAGGACCTAAAGGTAGCCAGTTGCATTCAGCGTTAACTGAGCTCACCTTCTGTTTATCCGGCGGCAATTTCCAAACCAATGAGAAGAGAGGATGTGTTTTGCACATCAAAATCGAAACGTTTTTTTTTTTTCCCCGGGAACGCAAGCCTCTTTTCAAACAAAAAGAATACTTGTTCTCGATCGCCCCTCCCAAAGAAAATTAGGATTCAGCACATACGGTGCATGCTGAACCCTAGTTTTGGGCGGTGCGGTGCGGTGCGGCTCTGTGGCTAAGGATCTGTGCCTGTGGCTGGAAGGTTGCCGGTTTGTATCCTGTGGCCGGCAGAGGAATCCTACTCTATTGGGCCCCTGAGCAAGGCCCTTAACCCCAGTTGTTCCAGGGGTGCTGTATAAATGGCCCTGTGCTCTGACCCCAAGCTTTTCTCCCTGGCTGTGTGTCTCGTGGAGAGCAAGTTGGGAAATGCGAAAAGACAAATTCCTAATGCAAGAAATTGCATATGGCCAATAAAGTGATCTGATCTTATCTTACAGAACGCCCTTCCAGGTGGGGTCGTATTTTGCCTCTTCAGGGACTGATTCTAGCAGCGTAAAGAGATGGAAAAGGCCACCGGGGAGCGATCTGGAGAAACAGCACCCGCTTGCCGTTCCCTGAGCCAGACTGCTCCAGATGGAGCAGGGTGGGTTTTGAATGGAGAGAGTAAACCATGTACTGCTTACAGCCTTACAGGTGGCCACAGGTGTGGAAGAGTCAGTGGGGAAACACAGCATTGGGACTCATTCCCAGCACAAAAGTCAGGTGCTTGGGACTGTGACGACCCTATCAAAGCCATTTAAAAGACAGGGAAAGGTGGCGAGGGTGCCAAAGACCTCAGACGCAAGGCAGGAGAAATTGTAAGAGAAATTTGCAATCGTAGAAATTGTAACGCTGTCAGAGCGTGTCCGATTTCCAGTCTTAACGTGGGAAAAGGGCTATAGGAAGTGACTGCACCGAAACGCTGACACGTCGGTTTGTCACACATCTGGAACAGCCAGGCTGAAAACACAACCACCCAGATGCGAATTTGGCACCTTTTAAACTTTGGAAATAAAAGAACAGTTCTGTGCACCGCCGATGTGAATCTAGCATATGCTGTCACTACAAAGGAAACATTTTTTTTTTTAATTCTACAGAACTGTACAGACTGGAATCTAGGACATGCATGTCAATGCCACAACATCACGCTGGAATCAGTTCCACCCACATTCTTGAAAGCCTAACAATGGCATGTTTGGTTTACAGTCTTCCCTTCTTCAATAGGCGACTACAGGCAATGTGCTCTCAACTGCTCGCCTTGTCAGTTGTTTAAACCTATTTACAAGCGATTTTCTGTTCAGCACAGACAAGTCCTATATGCAAAACTTTAAACAAAAAAGGGCAAAGTGAAATGTCCAGGCAATTTGGGGAAATGTACCCTTTAGAAAAGCAGGAGAAGAAGGATGGAGGAGTGCGAAAAAAGATCCAGAAAAATTACAGTTGTGAAGGCTACATACAGTAATTAAATTAAATACTTCACTTTGGAATAAATATATAAACAATATATAAAGTCCCCCCACTTACAGAAAACACAAATCCTCCTTGTAATTTAATGTGGTTCATTAACTCTTATCCCTCATTTTTTGCACATAATCGTTTTGTCCTTTATTACAGGCGTACCTGCAATTAGGTTTGGGAGAACTTAGAAAAGACTTAAAGTCACTTGATTTCCTTCCTGCTTTTCTCCCTCTAAGCAATAAAAAAAAACTTTATTTAAATTCAGCAGACTATTGCAGCAGGTGCCCATTTTTTCATTTTTCATTTTTCCAAGTCTGATCCCACCGCCGAGGATTTAACCAGGAACACACATCAGGGATCGACAGAATCCCGATCGGAAAACCTCAAATCTCCATGAAGCTATTGCGATACACTGTCAGATGCTACTGTGCAACCCTGACTTGGCAGACCAATACTAGGAACATTCTTCACATTACACTGATCATGTGAATATAAGCCAATCACAAATGCAATACTGTATGTGCTGAAGGCTCCAGTGTTCATCTGTGACGTGTTTAATGTCTCTGCAGTGTATATAAGTGCCTACCGTTATAGAAACAGATCACCTTGTATCTGAGACAATGTCATTCATTAATTCCTCAAGCAGAAGAAGTATTCATTTATACCACAATTGTCAGAACACGACCCCACTTATTTGTATTGTTCTAAGAATGCTCAACACTCATTCATCCCAGTAGCTGGGAGATAAAGGGTGTCTGAGCATGACAGCAACAGTGGCACAGTGGTTGGGATTGCTGACCTGCAGCACTGGGGCCCTGGGTTCGGTTCCAGACCTGGGGTGCTGTCTGTGTGGAGTCTGTATGTTCTCCCTGTGTTTGTGTGGGTTTCACCCACTGTCCAAATACATACTGGTAGTTTAATTGGTTTCTGGGAGAACTGGCCCTGGTGTGAGCATATCTTTGTATTTATGTCTGTGTGTGTCCTCCAATGGGCTGGCATCCTGTCCAGGCTATACCCTGTCTTGACCCCGCTGCTTGCTGGGATAGGCTCTGGCTCCCCAGCAACCCTGTACTGAATAAAGTGGTTAGGAAATGGAGGCATGGGTGGGTGAGAAAACTACAATTTACCTTTGTCGTCAGATTTTTTAAGGGTTACATTTGTGTGATTCGTGTTTTCCCCTTTCTAAAAGCTGAAATAAGCGCACTATTGCTTTTCTGTCCCCCTCCCACATGTTTGTGATATGCAGAGTCACAACAGATGTGTTTCAACATCTGGCCAGTGAAACGCTGCCTGCTCTCTATCTATTCATGCATTTTGTGGTTAAAATACAAAGGCAGATCTGGATTTCTTTTCTTTTAATTGACCTTTGCTTCACTCTTTCACTGTACTTTACCACAGCAGAGTACGAAAACAGTCTGATCCACCACAGCACACAGCATGCACAAAAAGTAGCATTGCAGTTTCCTTAGAAACATCTCGCGTATGAAAAATAAATAGGGTATTGTTGTAGTCTTGTGCAGTGTTGTGGTGCACAGTGAAAGCTTGGTGGAACTATGGGGAAGCAAGTTAAATCAGCTGACACTTGTTGCCATGGTAAAAGCTCCTTGGAGACTGTACTTCACCACAGTTAGCTATAGAACACAGGCTCCTCCCTCACGAAGCTCTGTCCCCCATGATCCACTGACCAACAGGAAGAATGCCCAAGTGCCACTGTGCTGAAGGACCAAGCACCAGATGCAGATGTTAAAGATGTGGTACGTCAGATTATTAATAATGGACTGACCGCAAACGAGTAGTATCTTTCCATTGTTCCATTGATACCTTCACCACTATGACTGACCAGATAAGACGGCTTGAGGAACTGAAACTGCAGTGTACGTCCCAACACATCAATTCATCCGAGTATCGACAGCCACTCCCTGGCTCGATTACAAAGCCAACCACAATAACAGCATTGTTAGCTGAATTTACAAGTACAAATACAGAGATACTGTAGCCTGTAGTTAAATTACAACTAGTAGAGTTATGTGAGGTGTTCAGTTAAATAAGTAATCCACAATATACTGATGTACACAGGTGTATCTGGGATTGAAACAAACATGGGAAAATATAGATAGGAAAGATAAGCTGAACTGAGCTACAGCCGATAACTTCCAAGTGCGAGAGGTATAATTACAGTGAGCCAAGACGGGCAAGGTTGAGCTGGAGCTCTGATTTAGGAACACTGGCACTGTCTGGGCTTCGCAGTGTCTGCTCTGGGGGAGCAGGAGTGCGGGGTTCTCCTTCTTCGAGGGCCAACGGGGGCCGGTCGCCCAACAAGATGCATGGCGTAGGGATAGGAAACGCTGGCTCGCACTGATGCTTGCAGAAGGACCGGCGAGGGCTCAGCCACTGCAGGTGGTAGGGAACGCTTTCCACTGCGTGTCAGCGAGGCCGAGAGGTGACAAGTGGGGATGGGCGACAAGTCCAGACGCTTCCGAAATGCTTGTGATACAGAACACACTGGAGATGGCTCGCAATGTAAGCTTGTGTGCGGCAGCATCGCGGTACGCCTTGTCTGTGTATGGTGCTCTAGGAGTTCCAAGCAGTCACGGGGGATGTGGTGGGTGGGAAGGAACAACACACACACCGGGCAAAATATTAGAACCAAGGTGATGGCCCTGTATGAGCAGCGAAGCACAATTGGAATGGGATGGGGGTCATGCACAGCCCAGATTTTGGAATACCTGCGGCCCAATCCCATCCCATTCCCAAATTCTAGCAGGGTCTTCCTCACCCGAGGCTGGGATGGGATAACAGCATGTGGGACTGAGCTGTACAATCTCACTTTTTCATAGGCTTCCCCATAAGGCAGAGATCTGAGGATTGGTTTGGCCAGGGAAGGTTATGGACACAAGCCTCGCGTTCCCCAGAGCCCAACATGCCCTGGTACTGGGAGATAATATTCATTTGGCTGGGCGCTTCCTAATATTGGTGTCACTGCTGTCTCAGAGGCATTAGAAAGACACCATGAAGGTGAGAACCCAAGAAACCACACCGTCCCTCAGTCCAGAAGCCGTGTGGGACAGAGTCTCAGTCAAAATGGTCTGAAAATGGAAATAACTAAGTTAAGCAAGACCCAAGAGCGCCATACTTTGATGGTGCAAACCCAAATCATGGACACCTCTAAGTTTCGACACGATTTGCTTTGATTTTCATTCCAAGTGTAGTATTTTAGACTTCGGGGACCACTTGTAGGCTTGCCCATTGGCAGTGTCTCTGAAGGTAAACCCGCAACATGCCTTCAGCAAGGTGTCAGCATTTACAAAGTGCACAGGAGTGGTGTCTAAATTGGAAAATGTATGACAGATCAGTCTCTCTAGTTGCTCCTTAGGGCTGAAAAGTGGAATGCAGGTAACGGAAACGACCGATAGACAGATGCGATGGCAAAGCTCGATGGACAGCCCCGATGGGCCAGGCCAGAAGACCTGGGAAGCCCCTCTCTCTGGGGATAGAGGAAGAAAGGGGCACTCCCCAGGGTGAAATCCGGCATCAGATTCCAAGCAGAAATTTCTCATCAGAAGGAGCTGGAATGGAGTGAGCGATTACATTCTGTTCCCTGATTTGCGGGATCAGCTGAAGGACAGGCAATTGGGATGGTCACGTCAAGTTTCAAGAGCTTTCAGTGTGAATCTTAGAGGACTGATACTGAAGAGACAGGGGAAGAGGAGGCATGAATAATTGAGCAGGAATCTGCAGGATGCGAAAAAGTCAGTCATTGAAGATCAGTGGGCACTAATCTGCCAGTAGTGAGCAGGCTTAGACTTTCCCCTGGCTTTGTGAAACAGCACTGACTGTGGTACTGGACTTCATTGCCTCTGGACCGTCCTGAAAATGGTTTGTGTTCAGCAGCTGGGGGAAGTGTTTTGCAGAAAGGAGAAAACCTAGGCTTGTAATCCAGAGCAGGGAGTGTGTGACAGTCTTTGCAGGGTGACCCCAGTCGTTTGAGTTTGTCATCACTCTTTATGTCAAGGAGAACAAGCCATCCTGGGCTCAGTTCGGGTCATCCTGGGTCAAAAAAGCAAGGTTGACGTGACATCTGGGATGAAAGACGGGAAGTAGCCATGCTCAGTGAGTCTTGGTCAGGAGGCAGGAACAAGTCTTGATGTTGCATCCCAGCAGGATTTTAGACCTTGGCAGTTGCAGGAGGGTGCGATTTTTAGACTGACATGTGTCGGAAGAGGAGGAACTTTCACTGACAGAGCGTCAAGTGTTCAGTGACGTTGAGGTTTTTTACAAGACTTGCACACAAAGAGCCACAGCGGGCTCAGAACTACGGCTGTCAAAGCCTGCAGGTGCCACACGAGCCTCGACTGGAGACCCAGCATTCAGAGTGCTTGACAGTGAGATAAAACAAACTGCTTTTGCATCACAGTTCCCACGCTGGACAGGTGAACTGGGTGCTTGGTTGGGGACACACGGCGAGTCTTTGTTGTTTCAGGTGCACAGCAGCCCCTTGAAGCTCATGGTTAGGCTGTGGTCTGTGTTTGCAGGACAGGGGCTCACCTTCAAGGGCAGGGGTGCAGGGGCACTGCAGGGCGTGGTCTAGACCTGCGTGGAGTAGGACCGGTACAGGGGCGGGCGGCCAGAGGGGTGGGCGGCGCAGCGGGGAAGGGTCGGGTGGTCTAGACTTCGCTGGAAATGGAGCGTGATGGGATGAGGACATCGGGCGTGGCGGGGAACAGGTATGGCTGATGGTCATGTGATCTCTGAGAATGGAGCTCGCTGAGTCTAAAGGAGAGAAACAAACAGAGAGAGAGGACGGAGCAACGTTAGTGATGCTTCTTGATTCTAACACAAAACACACTCTAATTTCCAGAGCCCCACCACATCAGCACAAGCAGCGAGACACAGAGATGAGATCCCTCTGAGCAGACAGAAGCACAGCAGTAGCTGCTAGCTGGGCCTTGTGCATCATACAGAACTGGGTACAGACTCAGGGACAGACCCAGACCTTTATTACAAGGCAACAGAAGTGCTGTGAGAAGAGGGGACAATTATCCTTCAGTTTCTGGGCACTTGTTTTAATATTGGACACTATGAGCACTCCAGCCTACAGCATCCTTGACAACCAGATGATGCGATTTTCAAGGAAGGCTGAGAGCTATTCTGCAGCCTTTACAGATGCAAGAATCCCATTTCTTCTTTTATGTGCCAATGATAAGGACTAATCCAAACCCTGCTCAGTCCCAGGAGCTTTTTCTGCACTCAAATGCATAAAATAGAACAATGGAATCCTGAATCAACACCCCCAGGAAAGACAATGGAGTTTCAAGGACAGAAAGCTGAGAAACACCGCATTAACACATACAGTACATGGGCTTGCTTGTCTATATAGTCTATGACAGTCTATGGACACAGATATTGTACAGAGAAAGATCACGTTAAGCCTGAAACAAAGAACCCAGGCTACACCAGCAGTAACACTAAAACATTTATTTCTCCAAACACACATTAGTGCCCTCCAGCTTTCAACAGCAGGGGGCTAAATGGATAAGTGATGGAGCTTTGTTCTAACATTCATGTTGGACCATGCAAGTCTGAATAAAAAAAAACAAATATTTTGGAATTCTAGTTATGTTATAATTTATGCCCAGCAATTTAGGGATTTCAACCAGGATTTCCACTCGATGTACAGTACCACTTCTCTGTGCCAGTCAATTGGGACAGTCAGGACCTGTGAGAGCACATCTGTGCCACACCTGTCTCACAAGAGCCATTTATCATTTAGCAATGCTGTGAGGACAGAAGAGCCAGTGCTGGTTGGACAAGCGCAGTGTGACTTGCTGTCATCAGAATTGGTGACACCTTGGCTGACTCAAGAGAATCCCAGTGAGATCTGGCTAATAACACAGACAAGGCTCCCAGTGCAGACGATGGATCTGCACTTTGAATGAGCTAGCTGAGCCCTCTGACAATTTGATCTGAGTGCCTGATTGAATGATCTGCAGCACCTCATTTGGTAACCTGTAAAGGCATTAGCTCAAAGTACAAGCTTTCTGGCCCAAGGGTTGCTGTTTTGAGACTTGCTCATGTCATTCACCAGCTGTGACTGGGAATTCCCAGGAGGCAGTGCAAGACTGGCCAAGCACTGCCAGGTTATGGCAGACCATGGACCTCAGCTGCTGTGCACTGTGGCCCGTGAGACACACTGGATATCAGCAGGCTTGCGCAGAGGCATGCGAGAGACATGTTGCAGTATGTCAAGACGAAGAGTGACTCTGACAGGAGGGTGTGTCAGAGGAGCACATCTTCTTGTCCTCACTTGTTTTTTAAACAAATGGCCATTATGTATTTTTATAAAAATAAGTAAACAGCTGATCATCTTAGGTAACAGCGGGCTAACCAGAAACCCAGCCTGGTTGTGTCAGCTTAGCCCTGCTCTTGTGTGTCTGGGGCTTGTGCTGCTCGGGGCCAGTGGGGTCGAGAATCAGGTAGTGGGAGGAGGTGAGGGTTGGCTGAGAAGACAGCAGGCGTGCTGGGGGGGTGTGGGGGTTTCCGGGGAGAGGGGGACAGTAGGGAGGGGTGGGTAATTGTGAAGATCCCTGCCTCACTCCCCCACAGCCCCTTACCTGAGGGCCACTTAACTTTTCGAGTGGACTCTCCACGCAGGGCAGGGACATCATGGGCATGCCAACCACAGGCTCCTGGCGTGGCGGGCGGGGCGGGGGCATGCCCGGCCGGGTCTGCTGGAAGTTGTTGATCACACACGTCACCTGACCCCCCGGGGAGGCAAGAGGAAGGAGGTTAATCCAGTCAATTGATTAACTGCAGTGGCGCTTATCCGTCTTAACAGGCGATCACGAACAAGCACAACAAAGCCACGGCCCCCTGACACACAGCAGATAGCCCAATCTCATTCACACTCAATCTCCTGTTTATTTACATATTTTCAGGCAACAGCTTTAGATTAAAAGCATCACACATTCTTCTGAACAACTAAAATTCACCAGGGCCATTTTTTTAATTTGAAATCAGTGATAATATTTTATTCTCCACTCGATTTAGCATTGCCACATTAAGACTCAGCATTTGCGTAACGAGTCCTGCGCTTACTCGAGGAGGGCAGAGATGGGCACGTGCCTGTGGGAGCCCAGTGTACTGGGAGGGCGCTGTGTAACTATCTCCAACCTGGCTTGGTGGAGCTCTGAGTGGGGAGCACCAGTTCCAGGTGGCTAGTGGCGTGAAACAGGCCCAGACTAGCTACGTTGGACCACATGGCTCAACCTGTTTGAGCAAGCTCTGTGACAGCCTGAGCCACTCAAGAGCCTATTAACTCTGGCGACCTTGCAGTGTCTCAGCATTCACCCCAGTTTTCCAAGATTTTTATCGTGCACTTTTGAAGTGCCACAGTATCCTGCACTGTCAGTAATTCTGTACCATCTCATAAACCAATCCCAAACTTCTGTGATTTACCTTGATTTCTTTAGTGTTTACTACACTTCCTGCCGCTTTTACCTTGGTATATACCACGCTAAAGGTTTCTTATGGTGACTTCACTGACACATCCTCACACACGCACTTTCCCAACCCATGAACAGAGTGACTGTAAAATGCCAGAAGCACCTAGCCCTTGCGAGAAGCACTCTGCCAGAGTGTGACAGAAGTGTGAAGAATGAGGGAAATGTTTCCTGGGGTTGGGAAGAGCTTGTCAGAATTACAGCCGAGAAAGGGTCTGAAGTGAAGTAACAACGAGCAGTCTTTGGAAGTGGGTTTGCTACGCTGACTGGAAGAAGCGATTAGGGCTATAAAAACTAATTCTAAGAGGAGGGATGATCACACACTTCCCACCCATATTCCGTCCCCCACCACCACCCCAGGCCTACCAGGAATGCCGCGATGGCTCCCCCGGTGAGATACCCAGCCAGGACGTCTGACCAGTGGTTGCGGTACTCAGCCACCCGCACCACTCCCACCAGCACAGCCAGGGACAGCAGGGTCAGGCACACCGTGGGCTTCGCCAGCCGGGTGCCCTTGGCTGTGAACACCAGTGTCACGTACATCTGGAACGGCAGGGAGAGACAGATCAGGAAGCTCTCCCTGGTGTGCCTGGGGGGCTATAGCAGGCTCTCCGGTCAGCTGGTGTGGTTGTGGGGCATCCGTGTACATAAATCTGTAGTCCCTCTTGTATGGAGGAAGTGACAGCTTCTGCAGTGTCTATTTAATAGTTTTTATTCTTCCTACCCAGGTTTGGTCCTCAGCTTTTGCTGTTTCACTTTCCTGATCAGATCTTTAAATATATTGTTAAACGACTGGCCGATCCTGTTTGGCCCGAGGCCCTACAGTATGACAACAGTCTGTAAGAACAGACTTGAGCAGACTTATAAAGTAGCCTTTGTGGGGTCTCATCCGAGACTGTACCGTTCTACCTCCCTGGGCCTAGACTCTCTTCGTTCTCTTTTATAGCGAGAGAGATTAGCTCACTACAGGTGCCGCTGATCTCACTAACTGCTTCGGAAACTGAGAGTTTTCTTTGTTTCTGGAGGGTTTACGTGCTGAATGAGCTGAGCTCCGCTTCAGGTTCATCTGCTGCATCACAGGGACCCCCCTTTGCAAGGCAAAAGAAAGGCTGCAGGAGTCCCGTTGGCCCGACTTGCTTGTTTGGTAGCTAATTGACTACTGATCTGAGGCTGTAGCCCAGCTGTTTCTTAAAGTATGCCAGGGAATCGGATTCAACAACATGGCCAGACAGCTTGTATCCCACAACCCTTGGTGTTGTCAGGATAAAGTTTTCTTTCCATGGACTCAGCACTGAGATAGCACTAAGCAGATTTATCACAAAAGCACATGGCAGAGACATAAAGCAATTCAAAATCATATTTGTACACATTGGACAGACAGTATCTTCACTATATTCACTTCACTATATCTCTTAAACAAATCTAAATGGAGAAGCGACAAGACATTTTCCTTGTGAATTGTATTTCTGGGGTAGTAGATCTTTAAGTCTGCTCAATTGAGAGGTAAATTCCAGTATGCAGAGTACATTTCATTATAGAAAAAAAGAATAGATTTGTGATAGAGCCTACTGGTGTAAAGACACCTTTTAAATGCAGATCACTGGGTCCACCTAGTTCTTAAGTAGACAATTTCGACAGGAAGAACTCAACTTTGAAAGGTCTTAAAAGCACATGAAATATGTGGATGTCTCTCCAAACACGAAGCTCTTCAATCTTGACTGTCCAATGTTTATACACCCACATAACCAACTCAGAGATCTTTAAATGAGCCATTTTAAATTTAGTGTTCCTTGCAGACTTGGTTCTTTCATTCCATGCATCACAGATGCCTCATGTGAGAAATATCCTCAAAAAGCCCTGAAAAGAGCAGTCAGTCATATTAACAGGTTCTGATTCTGGATTCCCAGGCACTTTCAGTTCTGCTCAAAATGCACCAACTCAATTTTGTCTCAAATCCTGACCTCACCTCTCAGGCAGGCTCGAAGAGCCAAATAAATACAAAATAACTAACTAACACCACCAACATTCGGAGTAGCTATGTGGTCAATTCCTTTGCACTGCTGACTACAGGAAAACCAGATCACATACAGTGATTAAAAGCTAATTACAAGCTAATTACAAGGAAGAAAATATGAGAAGCAGTACAGCAGGCTGGCAGTGCGGAGGGGAGGCACTGTGGCTAAGGATCTGTGCCTGTGGCTGGAAGGTTGCCAGTTCAAATCCCCTAGCCAGCAGAGGAATCCTACTCCATTGCCCCCTGAGCAAGGCCCTTAACCCCAACTGCTCCAGGGGTGCTGTACAAATAGCTGACCCTGCGCTCTGACCCCAAGCTTCTCTCCCTGTCTGTGTGTCTCATGGAGAGCAAGCTGGGGTATGCGAAAGGACAAATTCCTAATGCAAGAAATTGTATATGGCCAATAAAGTGATCTGATCTGATCTCTTATCAGTGCAAGCGGGACAGACACCTACCACAGTGTAGACAGCCGAGTACACGCTCAGGGCAGCGTCCTTGGAGGGGAAGGATTTTCGGGCAGAGGCGATGACGAGGGGGTTACCGGTGCACGCCCGCCGCTCGGTGATGTACTGCAGGGCGGACTGGCACCCCAGGGCCGTGTAGTTGGGGCGGCAGGCAGACAGGAAGTGGGGCGTCTGGTTGCCCGTGACCACCTGCCCGGCGTTGGCAAAAATGGTAGTCGTGAAGAGGCCGAAAGAGTAAACCCCTGCCAGAAAAGAGAGGAGGGAGGAGGAAGGAAGAGTCGTGGAGAGGTTAGGATACATGATTTGGGTTGAACTCCATCAGGAAAGATCATGTAGACCCGCGCGGTATATTTGCTGTTTCTCCACTTGTACCACTTGCCTTGCCTGCCCAATTTGGATCATGCTCCGCTGCGTCTCTCTGAATGACCTCTGCTTTATCATTGTTTCACTGGACTTGACTGCAATTGACCTCTTATCACAGCGTACCGCAGTACACGTTTATAAAAATCATCCCAGCAGCTGTCAGGCAGCTGAATCCAGACTGGCGTGAGAAGAAAACAAGGCCCTTAGTGCAAGGGACAAGAGGGAGGAGAGAATACAACCCTGTGTAGCACCAGGCTCTGACGCCCACTGGAGGAAGGGCGAACCTGGAAACACACACTGTGCATTCAACTGGGGGCAAATAACGGTTGGATGAGAAGAAAAGGCCTTTAAAAGAGTCAACAAAACCAAACCAAACTTCACAGCATTCTGCTTTCTCATCAGAGCTGCCGTTCAAGCCAGTTCCTTCTGTTTTATAGAAGCAGATCCTACGAGAAAGGGCAGGCTTTGCGCGGCACATGTGCTATTTATGTGACAAATGTTCTGACACTTCTGTTCTCTGTGTTCTGGGAGCGCTGACACAGAAACCTTCCCCAGCTCCACTCCACTTGCTGACGCACAGAAGCAGAGTGAGAGAAGTTCTCAGCACATGTCAGGCCGCATTATGATCACCGGCTGCTAATCGGCAAGGAAGGGGCGTTTTTCTTTTTTCCGTTTCTTAAAGACGCCCTGAGATCAGTTGTCCCCACTGGAGCAGTGTGGCCAGATTCCTTCCTTCGATTCCCATTTCCCCTCCTGGGATGACCTTTAACCTTTCAACCTTTACCCTTGCAGGTTAAGAGTCCCTCAAGTTTCCTCCAATCCCAAACCAATTTACAACTCCCATCCCTAAAAAAAACAACAACCTGACAGCACTGTAGTGTTCCAGTTCCAGGGTTTGAGACCTCAGCCGTTAATGAACACCAGACAGATCCTGAATCAGAAAGACTCTATTTTCTCGGCATTGGGTTTTCATTCCAGGGGTTCCGATATGCACGAACAAAGAACCGAGTGTTCTGGAAAGCTGTCGTCATTTCCCACTTTTGAGCCAATGTTACAGTGTTCCCTCCTAACATCTTCTGTGTGTGTGACGAAACCTCTCCCTGTCAGTCTGGGTTAGGTGAGGGCTGAGGTGGCTCTCCAGGATGCTGAGGTCAGCCTTGTAGTCAGTCCTCATGCATTGTTTGGGCGATGCACCGGAGTGCTCAGTGGCAGGAGAATTCACAGGCACAACTTTTTAGTTCAGACTCTTCCTATGGGTAACCAAGGACCTAAGCTAAAAGAGGCAGATTTTTCAGATCAGAACATAAGATCGGTTTCAAGAAGGGCAATCGACACATCTGGCCCATTTGGTAGTTCATAGTTAACTGATCAGAGGATAGAGGATCTCATCGAGCTGTTTCTTGAAGGAAGCCACAGTACAGGCTTCAGCTGCGTGGCTAGTTACATCCCTTGAGTTGTCAAAGATGAACTTTTCTTTCAGCGAAATGAGCACTTGGATAGCAGAGTCATCACATGTGGAAATGGAAAAGTCATGCAGTGATTCAACATTCTTCAGACAGGATTCATTTTGTTTTACACAATGGGCAAATGAAGTAAAGTGGTAAAGAAGAGCCCCCTGTTCTCAATCACTGCCCAGAAGAACTGGAACAGGAGGCTCTTCCTGGAGGAACTGGACATCCCTGTTGCCTTTAGTATTAAACACTTATGTTTTTTCAAGTAGCAAAGGTAACATCTGCTCTGTGCAATGCCCTCAAACTCAATAAATGCTGAAACTTTAGGGAGTTTTCAGGCAGGCCGTCACAGGATTGGAGACTATAGGTGAGCAGTACGGGAAACCGTCAGGCTCCCGGCAAGCTGACGGCCTGTTGTTGCGCCCTGGCTGTGAGAAAACTGTCCAGCATACCAAGAAAGCGCACGATTCTGCGCAGAAGGGGGTTGAAGTAGCAGCAGTCTCCCGTCACAATGGTCTTCTCTCGAGCACTCTCCGACTTCATGAAGAACAAAGACAGCTCTCCTGCCAAAATCTGAAAGGAAAGAATGCGCAGACATGAGACTCACTCCTGGAAATTTCGCCCTGTCATTACCCTGTGGAGCCTGGATTACAAGGACGTCAGCCCGAACCATCCTTGCAGGTTAACTGCCTTATGATCTGCCTGTGGTGGGGGGTCTGGGTCGCTTAAAGACCTGAAGAGCTATTCACCTGGGAGAAGTGTTCCATTAAGCTACAGTAATTAAGGTTTAACATAACATCACATTATTAGTCCTATACAATTTCTTGTATTAGGAATTTGTCTTTTCACATACCCCAGCTTGCTCAGATAAAGAGAGAAGCTTAGGGTCAGAGCGCAGGGCCAGCCATTGTACAGTGCCCCCGGAGCAGTTAGGGTTAAGGGCCTTGCTCAGGGGCCCAACGGAGTAGGATTCCTCTGCCTCTGCAGGATTCGAACCGGCAACCTTCCAGCCACAGGCACAGGTCCTTAGCCACAGAGCCACCTCGCCGCCCTTAACTGCATCAGTTTATCCCTTTTCCATGCTGCAGACAATTTGAAGAGAAAGAAAACCAGCTGGATGGCAGTGCCCAAGGAGCAGAGCTGGCAACCCCAGCTCTAGTGCTCAGCCGAATTATTTTATTTGGATTCCTGGACCCCGGCCATACTGGCACTCTGAACACTCCTGAGGTGTTGGCCAAAACACTGAAGTGTAACATCATCTCCAGGTGAAGTGAAAAAAAATCTATTTTGCGCTTTGTGATTATTATTCAGATGAAATACTGACCGACCCAAGAAAACTTGAAATGCCCCTGGGATGTAGTGAGAGGTGGCGCTGAGAGAAAAGCAATTATTCATGAGAAAAAACCCTCGATAATGAATCACACTTGGCCTGACTGAGTAATTAGCACTCAGAGGGAAAGGAGCAGTCTGGAGAGGCTCTGCGTGGAGTTAGCCACTCCTCTGGGCTCATTAAGAGGCTTGCAATTACAGCCAGGAAGACACGGGTTTCAGGCTGAGAAAGGAGAGACCAAAAGAATTTCTATTAGAAAAAGGTGTGCTATGTTTTCCTTTCTTAAAATATCTAGAAAGATATGATTCCACCATTTATAAAAGAAAACCTTGATGTAGCTCCCGAGAGTGACGATGTGATTGAGAAAAGTACGTTGCAGGTACATATGGAGGAGTACTCCCAAGAGCAGCAGGATAGTGGCTCTCAGGGACCAGAGCAGCCCTGCTATAGCCTTTGACACAGTATTTGTCAATACCTCCCACTGGTCTGTCAGAACAGGCTAAGTAAAAGGATCTGTCCTAAATGAAAATGGGTACATGTGCAAAAACAAAGGAAAACGAGCTATTCTCCACTCTACCTCTGCTGTAAATATGTGTATGCATCATGTTAGCACCTATATACAGTCATACTTCACATGGTCTTTCTCCGGCGAAGTCTGCGTGCCTGTGTGTAAACATTCAGAGAACAGCTTGGATGACCGCAACCATCTACATCAGGAGAAAGGGAATGAAGTGCAATACGTGTTCATGAAATATACATTCAGAGTTTGCAAGCCTTAATGGAAGTGCAGTTGAGCAACAGAACACGACTGCTTTTAAGAGCCCTAAATGCGTTTTAAGAGCACCTAAAGGCTTGCACAGCAGCTGGAGATGCACAATAGCCTTGAAGACCGTTAGTAATTAAATGCAAAGATTAGAGAATCCAGGGCAGCTGTTTAAAAGCTAAACACTAAAGGCTGTAAACACAGGCACTGCAGCAGTAACAGAATGACATCAGTACAGAAAAAACAGCATTTATGTGACTGATAAGATGTCCATGCCATTAAAAAACCTCTATACAGCAGTAGTTCTGAGTGCTTTCTTTTGATATACTGCAATCGCGCTGAGTATCGAGGACTCTTGGTCTTTGTATATCTGAAAAATCATGTCAATATTTTCTCTTGGGGTTATTAATAATCCTCCCAATCCTGTCTTACAGCCATCCCCTGACACAAAGCTTTAATGCTTTGGACATATGTAAAGATATCAAGCCAGGTGTGCTTGCAAGAGCAACATGGTAAGAATGGGAACACAAGGTATGTAAAAATAATAAGACAGAATGGAAAGGAGGGTTAACAGATGCTTTAATTCACAGCTGATTGTAAGCTATTGATCCGGCTCACTTCAAGCAGATCCATGCTCCTGGTTCCCAGGACGAGTGCACGGCAGTAGCAGTCAAAACAGAAACAACCGGCTCCGTCCTGGAAGCCAGCACACACCGAGTGTCATCCACCACTTCCGAAAGCAAATCCATGCGGGAAAAGGCACTCCCGAATCCCGAGAAAAAGAACTACAGCAAAAATCCACGAGCCACCTATTGTACCCAAACACAACAGACAATATGTGGTCACATTTCAACACAGGTCTCCCATCTTATCTCTGGGTGCAGCACTGTGGAAAGAGTGAACCCAGGAACACGCAGACTTACCATGAAGGCAGACTTACTAATAAGTGACTTGAACCTTTGTGCCTTTGAGAGCATTAGGTTTAAAAGAGGAGCTCAGTATATACTCCTAAGCCATTTTACAGTATATAATTACACTATAAACTGTGACTGTACCTGTTTTTCTTTTTTTCCTTAGTTTCATTTTTCATTTATTTTTCTTATGTTCATTGTAATTCTCTTAGAAAGTGTAAAAAATAATGTCTCTGCTGTGACTACTCTGTAATAATCTGTATCGGAGCCATCACCATAGCTAGCAGCTGTGTGCCAAGAAGCAATTCAGTGAACCCTTCCCCCCAAATCAGGGATCAGAATAAGAGCTATTCCATTGATTTCCAAGTGCTACGTAAAGTGTTGCACGCTTAACGTATTTTGAGACTTCTGCATTGAGAAGCATGAGCACATTGAGGGCATATGCTTAAAACATTCTTTATCTGCCTTGTTGGTATAATGTGTAATTAAACCCGCAGCTTGGAAAACCTGAAATGGATTTAACTGTTGTGCAACACTGTGCTGTGCATTCCCATCCTAATCCTCTCGCCTGATCCAGGTTTTGATTTTTGGTTGGATTCGTTGGTGGGTTTTTTTCAACCGATTCCAGAACACCTTTTTTTTATAACGTGGCTCCCAAAGATCTGGAGAACCTACTCATGTCTTTGATTCGCTGTTCCCACGTCTGCTCTGCGGAGAGTGGAAGTTGGAATAGGCATATAAGGATCCAAAGAGGGGTGTCAGAGCTTTTTATACACATTTAATTCGAAATACGCACTAAATATTTCTGACTATAAGACAAACTTTTCTAGAGCCACTTTTAAGCGAAACATAAGACTCTCCTTCTAATAGAGCTTCTCCCAAATTTCTGTGTTTTTGTCACTGCCTTGTATTTGCTACTAACCAGCAAAATCTTCAAAACCAATTTTTTCTGCACTTTCAATAATGAAAAATAAGAACCGCTACAGACTTGATGCTGAAAGTGACTTGTGCTGTGCTAGTGAGAATTTCAAAACTTGTAGAAATCAAGCAGCGTCAGAGCTTACTGATAATGTTTGAGGCAAACTCTTCAATAAAAATAAACTTCAAATGTGAATGTAGATCATACTACCTTCAATCTCATAAAATTATTAGCCCATATACTGGGCAGAGTGGGGGGGGGGCTGTGGGTTTTGTTTTAACTGAAAGGGTTGCACTGTACTTCAAAAGTTGAGAGCCACTGGCTTAAAGCACATTAAACTTAGCACCAGTGTTCCATCTTTTTATGAAGAAGATCCTGCCGGGACCAAAACAGCAAAGTTAGCTAAGCTAAAGAACTCCAACTCTTTCCAAGTCCCACATTAACCCCCATGAATGATGCATTCAGGTTTGCCTGAATAATTAATGGCAATGTTCATTCAATAAAAAAATGTTCTGATGATGACATTTTCTTTTTAACCGCACAAAGAAAAAAATGCCATAATAAATAATTTTGACTGTGTGGCAGAAGCTGAAGAGACAGACTTGTCAGAAAACACAATGAAGCTGAAATATTTGCTTGGATTAGGCCTTGCATAGTCTTTGAGTTATCTGTATGTCTCAGAACAAGTGTTGTTCCTGTCACGGGCTCTTCTTCCAATCAGTACCGGATTTTCCACTGTGCCTACAGTGCCTAGGAACTAGGAACGTTTAGGGCCTACGAAGGAGAGAAACACTAGTGATTAATGAAAAGCAAGCTGAAGCAACGTGCTTGCGATCGACTCTAGGTGCTCTAAATCAATAATCACGCGCTACCTAGCGGCTGTTCTGGAAACTAGAAGTATCGAAGTAGCTTGACTCGCTCCATCAATCACGAGGTTTAGTATTAGAATAGTTTAAAGTGCATCATGTCAATTGACGTGTTTCAACTGGTGTTTACCCCTCTTTTTGCACAAATCAGAGTGCCCAGGGCCTACGAGCACCAAAATCCGGCCCTGATTCCAATGTCTGTACATCTTGCTAAAGATGTTTGGATGCATCTTTCTATCATGGTTTTTATCTGTGCTTAATCATACTTGATCATACTCTTTTATCATGCTGTAATCAAGAGCATTATCAGATATGGTATTACAGTGTGGTTTGGTCATCTATCAGTTCATTTAAAATCACAAATTACCTGCCTCATCCAGACAGCTTTGAAGGTCATGGGAGTGAGATAGCATCCCTCCCTGCGGACAGTCTTTGAAAAATCCATAATCAAACAGGCAGGAAAAATTATATCAGCTCCTTCCTACATCCTCAATTCTGAATATCAACTTCTCCCTTCTGGCAAATGTTTTAGGGTTCCCAAATGTAAGTCGAACAGATACAAACATTCTTTTTCTCCACTATGCATGAAAGCTGTCACCGCAAATGTCAAGGATAAGCACAGTTTTGACTCTTACAACCCACTTGGGTGCAATATGTTTTGTGATGCGTTATACATGTTATGTGTTGTTATGTGTTATACATGTGCAATAGAGTGATGTGCAATGTTTTTCTTTTCTTCTTTTTTGGGGGTTTGCATTCTATTTAAATGTACAGGAGTGCTGTG